ACACACACACACACACACACACACACACACACACACACACACACACACACATACACACAGATACACACACACACAAAGCTTAAAAGATTTGCTCTCAAGAACTGGCAATGCCACCTAACGTTTTATTCAACTTCAGACTGATAAATGCCCAAAATACATTTATGTCTCTGATGTGTCATAAATAAAAACTAATTAGTTAATTTGTACAATGCACTGCACATTACCATCATCTCTTTTTCTGAAGTTACTGTGAAACCCTAAACAGACAATCTGAGTGAAGTAAATTTGCATATAGATAATGGGCGAGCTATTTTAATTCCGAAATGACCATATCAATGCGTTAAGAATAATGTGTTGTCATGTAAACACAGTTTCCAGTATGCCTAAAACTTCAGAATTGTTAGTACTGATTTAAAGCCAAAGATCATGTTAATGGAAACATGGAATTTATAAAACTGCACATAACAGCATTATAAAATTGATCAATCTAAAGCTTTAGCTGGAAAGCTATGCCGTACACACTACACGGCGAGAATAGCGAAGCGATACTGGAGAGACGTCATTTGCGACAATGGCGACCTTTATTTTCGAATCAATTAACACAGAGCAACATCTAAATGACACTTTCCCCAGCGTCAGTGGTTGCCTAGTTTTGTTGCGTCTAAGTGTCGTTTCGTGTACTTGTATAATGGGTTTCCAGCCTTACTTCGTATCGATCTGGCGACAAGCTGTCCACGGACTGGTGGCTTCCGTTTTCGAGGTCTTCTATGCTGAACTCCTTTCGATTTCCCCGCTTCTCTAGATGCATTCAAGTTGCTATTAAACAGTGCTGTAAATGGAAAGGTCATCATAGTTCATGTCATTTTCTGTGTGGCAGGAGGAAAATACATCTGCAGTCATTAACACTACACAACTCAATATTTAATCTGAAAGCTGTGAAAAGTATATCGGTGACGGTTCTTACTTACTTAAGAACTAGAGTGCGTCTTTACCCCCACCAGTGACAAACAGCACAAGCGAGGAGAATTTGTATACAATAGGCATATTCTGTAAGAAATGACCAACTTATACACTTTCTTATATGGAATAAACCATAGTGGACAATTTTCTCTTTAAAATGTCAAGGATTTTGGAACATCAGTTAGTCAGCGTTAAAACTTCTTGATTAAAACAGTAAGCTTACTTACGAAAATAAAGAACTCACCAAAACGTGAAGGTGGCTCAAGTACTCTGAACGAAGATGCTGGGTTTGCCTTATCAGCTCTTATTGTAGACTCCTTTTGCTGCGATGGACATTGCAGCGTCAGAGTCGGCTGGATGTCCTGTCCGACCAGATTCACTCTCGAAATGATTTCATTGGAGCTCTGCCTCATGATTCTCACTGCCCTGCTCTTTGTAATAGCCCCGGTGAGTTCCTCAGTTGACCACTCCATTGTTTTGCATAAATTTGGGCAGACATGGGAAGTTTGACGACCAAAAAAGGAAAGACGTCTCCGTTTTTGAGGAAGTTCCCCGAGAGCCGAACCCGCTAAGGTCGTTTGTCGTCTGGTACTGCCAGACGCCATGGCAGGAGCAGAAAATCGGAAAGTACGGAAGTTGTGGTTGTGAAGGAGATGTTTCACGTAGCCGGAAGTGGAAGTGCAATCGCGTGTATCTCTATAATACTTGAGAAAAATGTACGAGGGAACGAGATTATAGTTATGAAAATAGCGCATTGCAGGCAAGAGACTTCTTTTTGTTCTGATATATCAAAGCTTCATACTTAGCTCTGAGTGGGAAAATGTGATATTGTATTCCCCAACAAAGATGGGCTGTTCCACGGTAATTGAAGGGATACTGTACTTTTTTTTTACAACAATAAAACTATAATTCAATATCAATTAATTTATTTCCATTTTAAATTATCAAAAGTCTCTCATCCTATTTACAGTGTCGAAGTACATTTTCCAAGTGGCCTTCTTTATTTGTTAACATCTTGGTTCTTTTCAAGACTGGTCTTAACGTAGTCCTTACACCAGGGGTCTCAAACTCAAATTACCCAGGGGCCACAAAAGGTAGAGTCTGGATGAACTCAGGCCGCATGGAGTATTCAACAAAATGAGGGTTTCAGATATTTAAAAAGTACAACTGATCTAATCTTTTAAGTTTTTAATTGATCGCAGTTCAGAACATCAATAGTTCTTCAGACTGTAGGCTTCTTTTACCTATGTTTTACTTCCAGAGACCTAGCAACTCTTCACCTTGCATAGCTCAGTCACATTTGACTTGCGGGAGGAAGTAAGTGAGACCCTCAGTATGGCTTGGAGATAATCATCAGTAAGTTCGGATCTGTATTTTGACTTTTTAAATTCATGGTAAAGAAGAGCCTTTCACTTTCACACACTTATGTGCTACTGAAATTGATGATCCTCTTGAACACCCTAGAAAGTTCAGAGAAGGTATGGGACGGTTCTCTGAGCAAATGACCATGCTGTGGTCTTACTAACACCAAACTTTAATGTCAAATAGGTGCTGTAATATATCGTCAAGCGGGCCTCAATTGGCATAGGTCTGACCTCGAGCTGCCACCTTCTTGGACCTCTGGTTGTACAGTTAGGTTAACGATACACGTTCAAGCACAGGTTGTGGTGGTTGTGGTGTGAGGAATAGGCTCTATTTCGTTGCAAGCCGTGGATTAGATCCTCATGTACAAAAACACATATTATCAAATAGTTCTGTTTTTTTCTGCCGAGATGCTAAATCTATATCCCACTCGGCAGCAAACCTCGCACTAGATATTTTTTTAAATGACCATTTTCGTTTAAATCAATATTGACTTAAAGCTGGTTTAACAAAACAATAATAAAACAAAGGAACGAAATCATAAAACAATATCGGCATTGATGGTGGTAGCATTGGCTACATCAACATCAGCAACAGGAACAACAATCGAAAACAAAGAAACACCAACACACACAGGAAAGTAAAACATTAATAACAAAGCAGACGTTAGTTTAAGATCAACTTTTATGGTAATAATGTGGTGAGCCATTACACGAGAAGAAGTAGCAGTAAAGTTACAAAAGAAAAAATACAAAGAAAAATCACAAAAAGAGCATAGCAGTGAAAGGCGTAACGAGATTACAGACCGTACCAAACCTTTAGGGTTCTACATCGGCAGGGCTATAGCAGCCATAAAAGACACAGAGACGTTAAATATTTCAAATTCACAGTAAGATACATATTTATAGGCGGAGTTTTAACCGTTTTAGTGCAATAACTCTACAAGTTTTTAATATAAGCATCATTGCAATCAGGTCGACGATGTTAAAATGTAATTATATAATTAACAACGCGCAATAGTGCTATCAACAGATCGATACACTGATATACTCTCCAAAGTCTTTTGATTTACGTTAATCTATTCATCGGTCCAAACGTTGCCTCTGGGAAAAACAAAGGCATAGTCAATCAGTGCATGGCCTGTTTTGACTCATTAGGCCTTAATACTTAGACTTGTTTCCGAAGTGAGCCTTTAGTTCTTTTACGTAGCGTTGAACAGAAGTTATGTCCAAGAAAACGGCGAAAGCCAAGACGAAGAAGATGACTATAATAGCGGAGCAGCCGAGAACAAAGGCAGAGACCCTGGTGTCATCCATTGATGTGAGACTTCGTCGGTACATGGACACTGTCTTGGGCGGTACGAGCAGCTCGGCGTAGATTGCATCTATGATCTGAAACACAGGTGGCGGGTTTGTTTGTTTGTTTTAGTCAGAGCTTTACGGTATTTACAACTCAATTAAGTCTTTTAAGTGCCTGAGATTTAAGGTGTTACAACTACTATAGAGAATATGCAAAGGAAAAAAAAGGAGGAGAAATAAGGATGAACATATTTTAAATAGGAAAGACGTTGCAAACACACAAAAGAGTATCCGCCAACCTATCAAAACTGTTCTTCGCAAGGAATACAGACGCTGTGTTGTTAAATATGTACTTGTTAAGTTATTTGTTTATATGTACGAGTTTAACGCCCTTCATGATACAATGAAGCTCCTTCCCCCCTTCTCCTCACGCATTGAACTCAGGAGACATGCACGTATTTGAAAAGGGGCTAGCTGGAATTTGGACAAAGTCGAAGAGTTAGGAATACATTCAAGAGACTCTCCAACAAGAAACAGAACCGCACGAAACTGAAACATATCCCAAACACTGGTGTCTGTGGTTATAACGGTTAGGCGCTTTGCTGTCGCAGCAGGTGACTCGAGGTCGACTTCCAACATGGGAGAACATTAATTGGAGTATTTTGGTCTTTCTGGTGGGATGTTGTATCCCTCTCCCACCACTTTGGTCCTCACAGGCAGAGTTGAAAGTCTGCCTTCTAAATGATATAAATAGTTTGGATTGTGGCGTACAAATACCTACATCATCATGCCCCAAACCAAAGGCCACCCATAATATCTTTACCTGGCTCATCTCCTCATCGTCTGTGGTCTTGGTCAGTTTACTCATTGCGGTCACAAAGGACAGGCCGTTGTCACAGCTGACTTTACACTTTGTGAACAATGGCGTAGAAATTGTTACAGGCTCCACTACCTCAGGGGTTACAGTGGTCAAGTTCATTTTGATGACAGGTTTAAGAGTCTTCATGCTCTTCGTTGGGGGTAAAGCCGTGCTGTCTGTTCAAAGAGAAAACATTCGGCTTTCAGTATCTTTAGCGTTTTGTTGAGAAACGCCCTATTGGTGGCAATGAAAATTAAAACTCAAAACACATATAAACGCATAAACACACATACATACATACTCACACACTCACGCGCGCACGTGCACACACACACACATACACACACAGACACACACACACACACACACATACACACACACACACACACACCCATATACACACACTTACACATATATACATACACGCGCTCACAAAGATACAGACACTGATGCTCACGAACGCGCACACACACACACACACACACATTCAAAGAACGTAATTCACAATTTTATTGGAGTGCTGGTAAGTTCAAATTCAGACTGACCAAGCTTAGAAGTAGTTCTGCTCGTCGATGGTGGTAGTGATGATAATGGTGGTGGCGGTCTTTGCGAAGTTGGTAGTGGTGTTGAAGGTGGTGGTGATGAGGGTTGTGGTGATGTAGGTACTATAAAAAGAAAAAAAACCCAATTATTTATTTATTCTTTAGGTCAACAGAGCAGGGTGAATTTTTTTTCAATTATACATCAGACATTTCATGGCAGCTCTTAAATTTTACAGAAGATCTGCACAGCCCTACCTATATCCATGCCGCGCTCTCTGAGCTAAGCCGAAAAAAATGTCTGTTTTATTTTGCTTGAAAGATATACCATTGCTTGAACAAGGTAAATCTGTTGATATTTTTCGACAAAGCATGGTATATAAGTAACGCTACCGAATCTTTGTTAAGAAATAACCAAATCAAAGTACCTTTTTTAAAATAAGGATATTTTACACCCTCATCGACTCAGTTTAGATAATCTACAAGGAGGGCTTTCGACCCTGCCTGCCAGGGCCAACCCCCACTGAGAAGGATACATCCCAGCAGAAAGACCACGCTATTCGATAAAATGTTCTTTTCACTCGAGAATCGAACTCAGTTCTACTGCGTGCGACAGCGAAGCGCCTAACCACTACACCACAGACGCCGGTGTTTGGGCTGTGTTTCGATTTTTAACGATTCTGTCTCTTGCAGCCCTGGCTTGAATTTATTCTTAACGCTTTGACTTCGGTAAAATTCCACCTAGCTCCACCTCAAATACAAACTGTATACCAAACAAACTATAAACGATCGGACACAAACAGACCCAAAGAGCTCAAAACTGTAGGCCTATTGTTCAAAGACACGACTTCAAAAGTTAATTTGCAAACTACTCATGCATTATATAAAAAAACAACTATGGAACGATGCCTTTTGGGAAAAGCGTCTAAGTATGAAAACAAAACGTTGTTTCGAAATTCGCCTAAAGTAGTGTTTTCGTCCCATCTGGAACATTCCAGCTCAGTCCAGTTGGCCTCTGGCCTTTGCTTTGTTTTCGTAAGAGTTTTATGGCACTTGCAACACGATTTAGTAATAAGTGCCGAAGATTTTAGATGTTACTAATCTAGAGAGTAACGCACACAGAAAAGGAGATCGTGTACACCTGTCGTAGACCAAGTGCACTGGCTTGCAATGAAGTGCTTAGGCTTACTAGTTGGGAATTAAACATCAAAGAAAACAACAGCAAAGCAGCTTCACGCACTTTAGTTAGGATCTCTATAATTTATTTGCCTTGACGTCATTCGACACCTGAAGCTTAGTGTGCCCCTACCCTTAGAGTTCCATTCTCTGATTTTCCCAGTTACATTTTAATACTAATATTTTCAACCTGCCACTGTTATCCTGTGACTATCATAATCAATAAATATGGTATTTCAATCTAACATTTCCTTAACAAAATTATCTCACCATAGTCGATAAGGAACTCGATCACAAGGTAGGAAGCTTCTTGAACAAAGGCTGTAAGACAAAACAGCAAAGTACACACTTATTTAAAGACGAACATACAAACCATAATGACAATGATTGTATGACAAGAATGAACAGCAATCAATCCATTGGTTCGTGTTTT